AAACGTGTCATCATCTAAAGGAACCAGACTGGAACTTTTATAGGTCCAAATCAGCAAAGAAAGCAAATCAAAATACTGAGTTAGCCCAAGTTCAATGGAAAATCTGACAAAGAAAATCAGTAACCAGTAACATTCTGGGACATTCTGACGACTTTGAAGTCAGAGTCTTAGATTACAGTAGAAGTCTACCACAGACAACTGAATGCTGGAATTCAGTTGAAAGATATTCCAACACAGAGTTAATTTATGGGTCTGTGGGTATGCAACCAGCAGTTTCACCACATGTTAAATTAGTTTTTATAGTTTTTATATTGGTTAATGTATTTATTGTAATTCTGCAGCACTTTGAGATTTACATATTCAGTATCTTGCATTAAAAAAATATTATTATTGTTTCCATCCGTCTGTCCGTCCGTCCATCCATCCATCCATCCATCCATCCATCCATCCCATCCATCCCATCCATCCTCCATCCATCCATCCATCCATCCATCCATCCATCCATCCATCCATCCATCCATCCTCCACCCACCACCCATCCAACCAACCCCAACCACCACCAACCAACCAACCCAACCAACCAACCAACCAACCAACCACCAACACAACCAACCAACCAACCAACCAACCAACCAACCAACCAACCAACCAACCAACCAACCAACCAACACACTCATGCCTACAGGAGTCAATGGGTGAGAGTAATGTGCAATTACTTTCTACAGCCATTTTTTAAGATGAACATTTTTTCTGGCTCCTGTGGCCTTTATTTGAAAGTAAACCTACAGAAAAGGGGCAGAGAAAACGGGGAAGGCATGAGCCACGAGGCACTGAGGATGGGTCTTGAACTCAGGACAATGGCATTGAGGTCTGTAGCCTCTGGGCACGCGGTGCCCTCTCTAATCATTGCGCCACACAATGTGCTTTCTATTACCGTTTTTACTAATGAAGCACACAGAGACAATAGTTACTGTTGGACATAATCTGGTTCACAAACAGACCAGCAGAGGGGATGAAAATACTTTAATTTCTAAGGTGATAGACTTTATCAGTGGGGGCATCATGAGGGCGACAATGGAGTGAGTGCAGGGTCTGTTATTTAGAGCTGTACATGAAGGTCAAAAGATATACTTTATGGTACCTGGTAAAAAATGTAGAATTTCTCCTCCGACTGGAGGAATCTCCATAATTATTACTTATTATGCTCAGGTAAAGACATCAAGTGGACCAGAAGACCTGGCTTGGGTCTTTTTGAGAGTTTAAAAAGAGAAAGGACAAAGGAGATATAAAAGTGATACCTTCCCCAGAAACCATATCTGTCATTATCCAGTCAGGCAGAGAGGTTCATAAGGTCTGCTGAAAAGGTTTAGTTGTTATCTGCTTTAGAACCAGGCTGTAGAGAATCTCTGGCATGCTAATAAATCACCAAATCAAACGGTCCTGGAACAAAAAGCCATCTTTCACAGCAACATCACCAACACTCCACCAGCTGGGCTTGGTTAAAGGGAAAAAAGAAGAGACATGGGCCCCTTCCTGCAACCCCTGTTTCTCAAAGCCGGCTTTTCACAAAGAAATGAATTTTGAAAGAAGCTGAATTAAACGAGCAGCCGGGGTGACTGAAGGTGCTTTATTAGAATATGCTCCTCTAAAACCAAGTCGTTTAAACTGCTGGCAGCCAGCTCGCCTTCCTGACCTCCTGTCCTCACCGCAGTGAAGAATCATCTGCCTCACTACTGCACACCTTTTTTGTGTGTGTTTTACACATTCTAATCTAACCCACCTCATTCTGTCTGACCCTTCAAGGCCAGTGTAAAGTTCTTACCTGATTACCACTCAGAATGTTTGGAGCTCAAAAACTTTGGTAAAAAACATGACAGAAAAGTTTCCTCATGTCACTTCTTTGTGTTGGACATATATCATCCACCCTTGCTCAAAATCTAAAACCCAGGAAGGAAATGTATCAATATTTTGTATCTGCATTCCCCTACAGATGCTGTCCTAAGGCCACTGGGCAGCAGCCAACAGCAGTGAGGGGCTTTATGGGGGTCGAAGGTCAGACTGTGTCTCTAAAGACAGCTGATCTTTTACCCGAGCACAGGGAAGATCCACCACCTAACTCAATTATCTCATCATACAGAACTTTCAGAAATGTATTTAATGTCTTGCTGCATCCAGATGCAGAGGACAAACAACCACACACACAATTATAGTCATGTTTCTGTTTGCACCTCTAATAACTGCCTAAAACTTCTAAAAACTACAAAATGCGTTTTTAAACATAGATATAACACATTCAGGTCATATTAGTTTTTGCATTGAGTAAATTCATTCAATTATTCAGTAAATATTTTTAGCTTCAGTTTTTAAATTTTTTTTACATAATTTTTCACAAATACTAACCAAGAACAAATACTGCATCAATCTAACAACCTAAACAAAGATATAAAATGGTGATTCTTTAAAAATGACCAAAAAAATACAAACAAACAAAAAAAAGCTACAATAGGCAATTATTAAAAATAATAAATGGCTCTCAACACAACATAGTAGCATTTTTAATCTTTGCAGATGTTTTAATTGAGCAATAAATAACAAAACCTGGAGACTATTTTGAAAGCTGTAGCAGAGCACACAGCTTCTAAAAACACCTTTAAGAAACACTTCATGTTCCTCACACGACCCTACTTCAAAAGACCTAAACTATCTCTGGAAGACAAGAAGGAATGGTTTCTCTATGTCACAATAATAAGATACAGGGGCTGGCATATGAAAGAATCTGACAGCTGCTGTCAACATTTGACTACCATCAGGCCAGTTGTCCTTGCTGTGTGCTTGTTATTATTTGGCATTCTGCCTAAACACCCTGACTGCATCAGATGAACCGTGAAACGCTGCGCTGCTCTGAATGCCTCCTCAGCTTTTACTGCCACTGTAAAGATCTGACTTCTGCAACAAACACAGTGCTGCAAATCATCCAGACAGACTCTAAAAGGCACAGCAAACCCACAGCCTGCACATGTGTGTCCATGTCACTGGGTGCATTGTGCCTACTGACAGCCGTAATAAGATTGTAGAGCTGCAGCTGAGAAAAAACTTAGCTAAGATACGAGAGAAGAGCAGAGTCTGTAAGAGGCCTTAAACTTTTAAAAACGGAGACACGGCTGCAATAATATTCCTCCGCCAGGCAGTACAAAGGATATTTACACTTACTGTGGAGCGAGACAAGGCTACTGCTGAAGCTTCGGAGCAGAGGTTTATCAGAACCTTCTGTCTTTTCACTTTCAGAGGGAAAGAGCATATTTAAAACCCCATAACTGTCATGAGGACAGCGGTGTGCTTGTCAACTCTTAGACATACATCCAAGTGTTTTAAAGGGTTAAAATGGCTGTTAACCATGTAAACGGCCGTGCATATGTATAGAGTTATATCAAGTCAGAGGACATTCATACAGACATTTACACACTGATGGTGGTAAGCTACATTCCAGCCCCTGCTGCCACTCAGTTGGTGTCACCAGACCGTATGATCATCATGGCGTGGAATGGAGGTGAATGTTCTGTCCAGGTACACAGCAGCATAGTGATGATGCAGAGCAGCTGTTCAAACTGGAAACCCACCGGTTACAAGAATCCTCCTCAGCCACTGCTATACCATGAGTGCTTGAACTTCTCAGTTGTTTCAAGCAGTCAGTCTTTCCATCAATATACATAGAACTGGAGCTGGGCCTACTGACCGTAAGATCTAAAATATTTTGTGTCATTATTCCTTAAGCCGTCTGCCCTGGATATGAGTTTATTTTTCTGACTGAGCAGGTGTCCTAAACAACAAAAAGCTCTTCATACTCTCAAACCTTTCAGTCCAGTCCCTATATACAATTTTTTTTAGGTTTTATATTGCTGTAGCCAAGCCCTAACCCTAACTCTGGAAAAACCAGCCCCCTTTGTTATACACTTTGCTTATTTTAGAGAGTCTGGACCCTCACCTATCGAGAACAATTGCTTCCTGGAGCCGTGGTAGACTGATGAAGTTTTAAATCTTACCCAATTGCTAATGTTTGACCGTGACGCATGTCTTGATGAAAATTGCCTGGCAGTAAACAATCATTCTCCACTGAGAAGAGCAGTGTCGAGCTAATATTTAGAAGTGTGGCCAACACCGACTGAACGGCTCAGTTCACTTCCTAAGCCTTGTTCTGTTATAAAGGTTTTTGGCTCTATGCATGTCTAAAGTGATGTTTGGTTTAATCATAAGGGTTTATTTGATGTTCAAACAAGTCTATTGCTCAAACTTTACCTTCTTCATTTAACAGTTGGTTGTCAGGTGGTGTATGGGTGGTGGGCATGCTTTGGGCTGACTAAGGCAGGGATGGCCAGCTCCAATCTCCAGGACCGGAGTCCTGAAACTTTTAGATGTTTCTCTGATTCAACACACTGGATGAATAATGAGGACATTAGAATTTAACTGTACAAAGGAGATAATTAAAATGTTTATTTTCAGAAAAACATTTTAAGATCCTTCAGTATGTTGGACCAGGGAGGCAGCTAAGAATTGGAGGACTGATGTGTAATTTCCCTTTTCGCCTTGCTGGGGATCCTTCACTAAATGGAGAGGTGATGCGCTCTTCCTCCCTTTGAACTGAATTCCATAGAGGATTGGCCCCTGGGCTTGGTCTGCATGGTGGAAGACGGTGTGGCTCTTTGGTCTGGCCGCTGCTGCCTTTGTGGGGGCATACAGCGTTCGGTTCTCTGGGGGTGGCAGACTGGCTAGCTGTTTGTTTTTTGTTTTGGGTGATACTTTTTGGCTACAATTCACTCATTATTTACTGTCAGTATAACAATTAACACTGATTTAAGCTGATTCAGTTGCCATGGAAATACTCAAACTTGTTTTTGTTTTGAGGAATGTGTGAAAATGAATTACACAAACAAACACAGCTAAAGCCGTAATAAAGACAGATGTTTTCATGGCTGGGGTGGGACAGAAGTGGTGAAGGTACTCACAGTCCAGGTGACTCTGTCTGATCCCCTCCACGTCTTCCGCATGAATGAACTGGTAGCACCTCTTCCCTACAATGTCCACAGGGGTCAGGTCCATGTAATCACTGATTCTGTAACAAAGCAAACAAGTAGCAAAATGAAACGAGAATGAAGACCTGCAGTTCAGACACTCACAGACACAGAAGCATGTCTGCTGTTTTTATTTTTGAAGCAGATCCTGCTTTGATGTGGATGGTTAAAACATTTATGAACATTTTTTATATATTTTTTGTTTTCTTGTTTGTTCCCTTGAGTATATGCCAAAATATTATGCCAACTTTTGTGTGGCCATTAAAGAATAGTGAGACTATTAAGGAACTGATAAGAATCTTTTACATCTCATAATGTTGAAGCAGTTTCTTGCATTGAGACTGGTTTTAATTTAGAAATAAAAGTCATGCAGTCAAAGAAAACACATGCATTTAATCCTTCATGCTGCTCTCAAAATGAACATTAAGTAGAAAAGGACAAGTAAGACAGAACTGCATTAAAATGAAAAAATCCTGCTTTTCACTGGTTATGCTATGTCATCTTGTTGTACCATTTCATCCACACCACATAACTGAGCTGGTCGCCAGAAAATATTTATAAGAAGAATACCTCAAGATTGAATTATAATTCAGTGATTGACTTGACTGAACCAAGACTGCATACAGAATCAGAGCAGGCAGGCCACATTGCTGTAGTAGTAACTGTGTTTGTATGACCTGCATCCATTCATATTTGTGTACTGTCTATGTCAGTGTGTTTGTGCCAAGATGCACACTTGCAAAAACGTAGAAAGCAGCAAAGGGTGCTTGGACTAGGCTCTGGAAGGCTGCAGCAGGACTCAGGCCATCACCCAAGTACCTGGAGGCGGCATTTTATTAACCGGCTGAACTGAAACTGAATCTTTTTGGCATTAACCAATCGGTACATTTTAGTGTCCTTGTAATTTTGCATGCAACTTGTCTGTAACAGTAATATATCTCCTTATTAATTAAGCCTGTTATGAAGAAGCAAAGCAAACCTCAACTGAGCATAAACTGTTTTGTTGTGTGTGAAACGTGTTGTAGTGAATCCGGGCAGGAGGAACTGGGCTGATCCTGATAACTATGAGATACATAAAGAGGATCCAATGGATTTGGGACTCAGACTCAACAAAAACACATTAATGTCTTTCACAGTCTCTTCCAGAACTCAGTCATATTCTTTTATCTCACCTTTTGATATTTTTAAAATAATTATAAAGCATTATAAACGTGTTATGCATTATCATGTAATGTGTCATGTAAACGTTCCTGACCTGCTTGTCTGTATTGAAATAACTATTCAGATGGGATCAGTGATTGGTTCAAATGCTACATTTTTTTTTCTCAACAAAATGTGTCAGGATGAAATTATTTGGTCCTTCTGTTTCACATTTACAACTCTTGTAAGTTTTTGGAGAAAAAAAAACAAAAAAAGAAATAGAAATGTTTTAAAACACTATAGCACCAAGAACGTGATCCAACTAGTCTCACAAGAAACACATTTCCCATTTAAAACAAATGCTTTATGACTAAGGGACAAGAAACTGGTCAGTCAGGTTCGGGTATGGCTAACACTCATCAACATTAAAAAGATTAACGTGAACAAAAATACCACAGAATGGAGCAGACAATTTCCCGTTTTAGTCAGATTGAGGATGGTTGAGGGCGACTAATGTCTGTACGGCAGATAACAGCCCATTTTGTTCTTTGGAGAAAAAGCATCCTTCCATTTTCTCATTCTCATAGAAACTTATCCTCAAAATTGAGCTGTAATGGAACCGACGCTTGTCTCTTTAACACAGCGGCGATTTCTGTCGCTCCACAGTGAATATCATCATCTGCTGCATTGTATCCACTTTTCCACCCACAAAAAAGCAATCTGTCTACCATCATTTTCCTGCTCTTTTTATTATGAAACATGAAGGAGGCATTTCTTTTTTTTTTATATATTTTGCCTGATATGAATCTTTGCAGTCAAGGCGTTAGCTCCTGCACAAGATCCTGATGGCTATCTGCTTTATCTGGACAGAGCGAAGGCGATAGAACCATCAGAGACATATTTCACTGTTAAACCAGGGAGGATTAGGTCATATTCCTCATGAATACGGAGCTCCAACAAGGCTGACAACTTTTTATTCTTGGAAATAGCCATGAAACATGGATGCAGATACAGTCAAATCATTTTTAGGATAGTTTAAAAACTGACATTGTTACATCTTTAAGTAATCAGAAAGTTTGTCAAAAGACAAAATATAATGTATTTGCATTTTTTTGTATTTACTTATTTCAAGCAGGTTTTAAAAACAAACACGAGAACAAACAACTCAATATTGATGAAAAATTGTAATTAAAATCATGTTCTAATGTTCATATGCCTGTTCAACAGTAGATTATATGACATAGACAAGATGGTTACAAATGAACTAATAAGACAAGAAAACAGTAACAATGATGATTGTAAATAACAACTTGACATAAAGCTAAGGTTCCCTGCACAATGTGAGTGTCATAGCTTTGTATTTTTTGAACTGGTTGATGTTTGGACATTGTTTTAGTTCCATATTCAGTTTGTTTCATTGTTTGACTCCAGATTACAGTGATACAAAATCTTCTCATGTTGCTTTAGCTATAATTAATGTATAATATGAATAATTTGGGAACCGACTTTAATAAAAGAAAACCTGAACACCTGACCTGTGCGACAATTATTGATTTTAAAAGTGATTTAAAATATGAATGTTGTATACATTCAAAAACAAAAAGTATTCATTTATAGTTGATTTGATTCTGACCCAGACTGAGTTCCAGTAGAGTCTGAAGAGGAAGCCAAAGACTCTGGTGATGGTAAAGTGACTTAACATCACCAAAGATGTTTTGTCATAATGTCACTGGAAACATGAATTTAAAGGAGGGATTTGGAGTTTGTATTGCCAACAATGTTTTTTTTCCAGTGATTGTTGTGAAATGTACAATAATTTTTTATACAACATTTGAAAAATGTTAAATAACATTAAATAAAAATTTGATTTTCAAACTGATACTATTATATTCTGAGGGCAGGGCTGGGGTTGCTGTTCAATCACCATAATGTTGATGTTTTTTAAGTTCAGGTTTAGGTTCATTTCAGATTTATACTCTATGTTTGCTGACCACATAACCACATGAACCACATTCACTTTAGCTATTCCTTAACACATGTAAGATACTTTTAGTGTAAAGTGAAGATTGTAAGAACATGTTTCTTAAATAAATAACTCCTCATTGCAGCGTTCCCTGGTGTTGGATGTTTTCCATATTGTGTAAACCAAGGACCAGGTTTCAGGTTTGGGATGACAATTTAATCTCAGTATCTGTCATTATGTCTGAGAGTTGTCCAACTTTGTTCACCGTTCGAACTAGCAATAAAGTTTTTGATTTGAGAGACTTTAACAATATTCATTTTGATTATTTGACTGCATCTCTACATAAGATATGCAGGTCCATCATTAAGTCTAACCCCAAGGTGAGGTCTTGTAAGAAGCATTTGCATTTTCTGTGTTGTGGCAACAATCTCTTATTATGCAAGGATCCTAATCATATCTAGTAAAATAACATTTATGTAATGTATTTGATGTTAAGATTTAGGTCGTAAGCCTAAAGGCATTAATCTGAACAACAACAACAACAAAACAAATCAAGAAAACGGCAGTTACAGCAGGGTTCCATGTCCATGGATGAATAGAAGGCAGCTGTGTTCGCTTGCTTCCACCTTCTTGGACCCCTAATTATGCAGCAGATGTTTGCATCAAGCTACATTATGCAGGGTTTTATATTTTATGTGGCAGTTTTACTGATGAAAGTGACAGGAAAACTTTAGGTCGCAGCTCTGCTGTAATATGTCACCAACACATTCTTCTTTGTGTTTTTTTTTTTACTCTTAATCACTACTCACTCTCTTCATATTGTTTGGCAAAGCAGCTTCTCTCAAATTCAGATCTTAAGGTCAGTATGTACTTTTCATCAAAGGAGGAATCAGTTCTTTCCCAGAGTTGGAAGAAAAGACGACATCATTCTGTTCATGCAACACTTGGTTTGGGTCTTTTTGCAGATTTCTCTGCATGTAAAATCGGGGCAGAACTTCTTTGTGTGATTATTTAGAAACAAGGACTTGCATAAGGACTTCTTTATGGAAAGATGCAGGACCAGCTCCATCTGGAAAAAATCCAGATTAGTTTTTTTCTGGAGGAAAAAAAAATTGCATAAATTTATATGCAAATGTTGTACATGTTTAAATGTATCCTATTCAGCTGCACATTTCAATCGGCTGTCATCGTTTTTCTCATGCAGTAAATTTGCCATTTCTGTACCGAGTCTGATTCTTACAGAATTAGATACTCACATATTCACCTTTGTCTGAATACAGGAGCTTTCATTCTTTGCTCCTCACATAAATTTCCCTACTATCAAACAATGAAGGATATTTCTATTCTATTGTATTGCATCTTAAAAAATCCATATAAGTCAAGTTTTCTTTATTTGTTTGCATGACAGCCCAGCAGTGTGACAGCTGAGTGTCCCACAGTTTTTTACTACAGGTAGTAAAAATGACTCCATTGGTTGTTCTTGTAACAACCAACGAGAACAACCAATAAATTACACATATTCCTAAAGAGGAGCTCCTGAAGAGAGACACCTTACTAAAAAAGATGAAATATGACATAAACAATATCCAATTTATTTGAGTTAAAGAGAGCAAAAATTCTGCAGGGGGTAAAACTCTTTATGGTCCTGCTGTTAATATATATGGAAACACTATAGAAATTGATCTGAAAAGGCTAGATGCATTTGTTCTGATCCATTACATTTTTTTTTATGTTATTCTCTGACACAAACAAAAGAATCCCTGAGGCTAATATTTTTCTCCCCTACCTGTTCTCACAGTAGACGATCTTGAGATCCATGTTGACTCTGGTGACAAACATTTGGCAGTCAATGCGAACCTCATTAATTGTGGGCGGTGGGAGGGCGTGAGCTACCACCACCATTCCCATTATCTGATTAGGCACCGAGCGGCTGTGCGTCAGAGCCATCCTGATCCGCAGACGCCCTGTGATGTGGATCACCTGACAGGGAAAACACAGCAGGTCACAGTCAGAGGGCGTGACAGCTTTGGATGTGGACATGGATGGTTCCAACATTTGTTACTTTAAATGCTGGAGAGAGAGAATCCACGTGAACCTGACAGCGAAACATTGAAAAGAGCAAAAAATTAAAAAAAGAACATTTTAAACACGTCTTGTTTTTAAAACGACCTGGAACAGAGTCAACTAGCAAGCACAGCTTTTTAAAGAGACTTTTCTCTCACTTTTTTCTTTAATGTTGGCACACATTAAAGAACACATGAACAGGTTTCAGCAGAAATGTTCTCTGCCTCATACTTTACAAAAGAGATGTCATTTCTCCTGCAAAGAAATTCAGTTAAATGCAATAGCAGTTACAGCAGGGTAAGTGCTGTATGGCTTCAATCGCCCATGGAAACACTTTACATGTACCATTCTCAGTATGTGTTTCACACTGGACAACTATTGGTGGTACATGACCTTCTACATCTGCCTAAATAATCATTAGCTTCTGTGTAATTAAATGTCTACTGCAAATATGACAACAGACTTTCAAGATTCACAAACTATTATTTGTAGAAAGTGAGATTGGAGTTCTATTAAGACACTAAGTCTGCTTGGGTCTCCAAATTTTTGGAGACCCAAGATTGCAGATTTTATTATGAAGCAAATCCTATATTTGAAAAAAAAAAAAAAAATGCAGATTGGGAAGCCAAAATACTTCCCAAGCTGCACAGTACTAAGCAGCTATGTGGTTCGCTTTGCAAAGCAGCCAATTGAGCAGTGCCATTCATTTGCCTCGCCATTGATTTGTTAAGAACAGAGAAAAGAAAGACTGTGAATGTGAGCTTCAGGAGAGGAGGTGGTTTGTCACTGATCACATTAATGCATATGAAGGTATATATTGTGTATGAACTATTAACCTATGTTAATAATAATGCCTATGCATTTAGATGTATTTCGAGAAGGTGTCTCAGGTAATTGCAGATTTTCTTCTCATTCCAATATCACTACCAAGATCCACAAACATGTCTAAGAATTTTAATGTTCACCTTAAGAAAGAAATCATGTTATCTCCAGTGATTGTAAGCATAGTTTGGGCTTATTCTCTTACTTTATATCCTGAGGACTTGATGTGCACACCTCTCTTTGTTAGAGTGGACTTCATCCGGATGAAGAAGGATCGTTCCAGAGAGTTATCAGGAGACAGGAGGCTGGGACTGCTGGACTCCACTGCACAACGAACAACACAAAGACAAGCAAAAGGAAATGAGCTAACTGCTGTTGACAGCTCTGGTGGGTTTAGGTTTAATGTTCCTCACAGTCTGACCAATATGGTTCCTGTCCTGAAGTCAGTGGTCGTTCCGATGCATAGCATAACTTAAGTTTGACAATGTTTCGGTGTTTCTATGGAGCAGAGGCGAGTGTCTGCAAGTTTTATTACAAACAATGTTGACTTGATTCAAGACTTTGTCACCCAAAAAGGTGAAGGTTTTGTTGCATTCTGTTCACTGCCTTCTGATTAGTTTTGGTTTCCATCAACTTTTTTTGTGGTCTAATATTTGTTTTGGCCTTAGTCCCAGAAAAAATAAAAAAATAAAAAACAAAGCAAACAAACAAACAAAAAACACCTCAAGTAAAACAAATAAGTCCAATTCATTCAATTTAATGTGACGGCAGTTTAAACAAGCACCTCCTCGACACAACTTATTCCATTAAAGTAAAAACATCACTCTCTGTTTCTATTTCCACTATTTACAAAATATCGTACAATTTTTCACTTTTCAAAAATGCGGAATCAGAGTTATTATCTTCTGAAAATAGTAGTACATACTTGGGAGAAGGAATAATAAAACAGAAAAAAGAAAACCACTAACAACAAAAAACAAAGATTATGTTTTTTTCCTTTCTGCCAGCTGGTGGATGAATGGCATTTCTGACAGGCTGAATTCTCTAACTTGACCAGTAGATGTCAGTGATAGTTGCAGTTCTTCAGTCTAAGTGCATTTGATGAGAAAACTTAATGTTATCCTGGCTCTTGAAGTCTTCTGAATCATTATTTCAATTTCACTTCAAGAGTTTATTCCACTTTATTTGATCAACATAAAAAACAAAAAACTGGATGAACAGTGCATGCTGGAAAATCTTATTAATTCTTCCAAAACAAATTTATGATCAATTTGTCAGTGGTCATAATGAAGATACAGATATTTTACTTTATTATTTACTGCGTAAATGACAAGTAGTGATTTTATTGTAAGAAATTAAGCTGATGTTTTACCTGGTTTCAAAAATCCAGAAGTTACATCAGAAACATGTTTGTGAAATAAACAAATATAGCATTTCTGTCAGGCAGATTTATTGGATAACTACAACTGCTATTAAACCATATAAGCTTGATGCCTTTTATTACATTCAAGCTGAAAAAAATGTCACAACACATCTGAAAACATAGATGTGTTGTGACTCAGAAATAAGTTCCACGTGTTTGTTAGAGCAGAGCATGAACTCTACAGACGTTACGCCTTCATCAACACGTAATCTCTGCAGGTAGAAATACAACATCAGATCACCAAGATGCAGGATCTGTGAGTCTGCTGCTTGTCCTCAACAGCCAGCATGGATCCACTGAATAAATAGATGAAGAACATTTTACACATGCAAGCAAGCACACAGACACGCAGCCAAGTCTCTGGTGGATGCACTGGTTGATCACTGCTGATACATGTTGACAACGTCTAATCTGAAAAATTGAAAGAAATGAATTAATATGCAAATTCATCCTTTATAATATAAATGTCCTTGAAACAGAGAGGGGGTGGTGACAGAGAGAGAAAGGCAGTGGGAAGAGGTGGAGGGAAGGGGCAGCGGCAGTAATGGAAGGGAAGGAAGAAAAGATGGGAAAATCTGACATGTACAAAAAATACACGAAAAATAAACTTAATAAATAAACTTGATGGACGAGTGTATTAAGACATGAAGAAAGGCAAACAAAAGAGAAAGAGGTAAAAAAAATTAAAGCTAAAGTAATGATTCGCAAAACACTGAATGCAAACAATTGTGTACTGCTCCTGCAGTACACAAAGAGATTGAGAGGAAGGAAAAAGTAAAGCCGAATGAAAGAGAGATATTAATAATGAAGAAGAAAAATAAAAATTATGAAATTTACCAGAGGAGGAAACAACTCTTTCTCTGCACCACAGTTTCCTCTGCTGCTTCTCTTCTAAACACCATCGGCCAGTTAGCTGTCAGTGCTTCAGGACAGTAAGGGACCATCAGATGGAGGGACAATGTCCCCATCATACTATGGTGTATTTAACTTCACTTTCTACGGTGTAAAACTTTAGGTATGTATATATGTGCCAAAGTAACATGCATAATGTGACATCCAGCTATCCCAAACAGCTCCAGCTGGTTAACATTTTTTATGTATATGTCATAAAGTGGTGTAGTGGAGGTGGTGAGGCAGATGCTGGAGGCCCAGGTAAGGTGAGTGGTAAAAGTTTAATAACATAAATAGTCCAGAAAACACAGTCAACCACACAAGTCCGCGGCCAGGCAGCACATCTGAGCGGAAGCCAGGGCTCACACCGGTAGGAACATGTCAAACAGGCGGACAGCACAAACGACAAGAACGTCAAACAACGACAAGGACCCGACCAGGAACAAAGGACACAGGTGGGATTAAATACACAGAGGGTAATCAGGGGAACAAGACACACCTGGGAGCAATCAAGGGGAAGACAGGACAACGAGGAGACTAGGACACAGAAAACTCAAATAAACAGAACAGAAACACACGAAACACAACAGTATATTGACAAAAGTATAAGCAACTCAGCCTGATAATTGTCTCAGCGGTGGGCTAATTAAACATTGTCTTAAAAGGGCCATATTATCTATAATCTAGGCACATAGAGAGATTTTTTAAACATAATCCAGTAACTATGTAATAGAAATGTAGTATATATCAAAATGAGACAGACACTGAAATGGGGTTGTTGTCTCTTTAAGAAGCTCCTGCTCTTTCTGACTGCACCTTCAGCTCGTCATCACACCAACGACTCTCCATTATGCCATTTACAGCTGTCCTTTTGTGTTAAAGTGTTTTTCAGCCTTCATTTGACAGAGATGAGACAGGAAAGTGGGTTATGAGTGAGTAGGAACACACTGCAATGGTCATCAGGCGGGACTCAAACCTGCAATGGCCTGGTAGAGGACTGAGGCCACCGGATGTGGATTTGGTGTTTTACCCATGAGCCATCACTGCGACCCTGCAACTGTTCTTAAGGAGGTTACCCACAATTCCTTAGCATATTAGACGACTGAAGTGGTTTACAAGGCCTTGTCTTCAGAGTAATTCAAGTAATAATGATTTGACCACCAGGGTGCGCTCACAGGCCTGCATTTTGTGGCTGTTATTAAGAATGAGAGAACTTGGCAGTTCACAAAATGTAATTTCTCCACATTTCGATGTATGTGAAAAGACAAGAAATAATATGACAGCAAATTACATCACTAAATCAAATCATAAATGAAGCACTCACTGTCCTCCTTTTTCTGTCTTTTGTCAATAACTTTGTGTTTTCTCATGAAAATTCAGTTAGCACACACGTTCATTCATTTGCACACTCTTACATGAGAGTCTGCTTGTCTGAAACTGAACAACTTCTACATACATTAGGTAAAGAGAGAAGTCTGACATAAAGTCAGACAAAAAAAAAACTAGGTGCAAAGACAGAGGATGAGAAGAGTTAGAGGAAAACAGGAGGAATTAAAAAAAACAAGAGGGAAGGAGAAGATCATGTGGGGATTCAGAGGTGTTTTCTCATTCTGCTTGCCTGGTTTGTGTTACCGTGGGGACAACGTTCCTACAAGACAAAGATTAGTGCTACAAAGGCAGCAGGTGGCTGCCGGCTCCACCGCTGCCCGACTCTGGGACTTAATTATCTGTGGCACTGAAACTTTCCCTCGTTTGAAGGACAAATGATTAATTAAAAAGAACAACTCACCTACGCCTCTCATCTGTGGACAATACCCAGTGCAGAGGGTTTCTTTGCATATGTGAATGCGATTGCAGGGATGTCTCAATGGGACTGCGTATCATTGTCAGACAGTCTAATAATGCTGCTTGGTTCAGGGAGCCCATTGAGTCAGACTGATAACTAGCTAACGAGCTAACGTGATGGAGGAGCAGCAGTGCGATACAAAAGCCACCAATAGCAAGGTCACCACAACCTCCTCCAGCGGCTGCCATCACTACTGCAGTGCAACACGGCTCCTACACACTAAGGCAGAGTGGGGAAAACACAAATATAATTGGCTTGACAAGAGGACTATAATACAGCAGATAAGGCAGACACATGTAGCGCATTAATGAGTCATTTAGTAAATTTCAGTGGCCCAAAGCAAATGGAAGAAGAGAGAACAAACACTGAGAATCCTGAAGGGCACAAACAAAACCATTACATACCTTCATCCTTTCATCCTCACACTTTCCCATTGTTGTGTCTCCATTTCCTTTGGAGATCACTTCTGGGCCTAAATGGTGACAACTGGTTGTTCACTATGCAGTACAAGGTATGTACTCAACATATTGTAAATGTGGAAGGTAACAGAACATGTTTCATTTTCATAAGCATTCAATTATATTCTGTGTAAAGTACAATCCAGCAAAAGCAAACTCAGTAAAAACAGTTTTAAAAGCAGCTTTGTTTGGGAGCAAAATTTAATCTAGACTACTCATGCATTAAAGTTAAACAGTATGTTATGGGGTCATTTACACAACTGTTTTGTTGGCACACACAGCCATGTCCAGGTTCAGAAAAAGTGTTCAACATTATAAATGTAAATATACTGTATATACATATATTTTCAAATAGATCTAGACAGCAAAAATACACAACCAAAATGCCCATTTTCCAATAGTCTTTTCAATAGTATTGATAGAAAATGAAAATCAATTTTTGAGGTTAATTCCACCACCATTTCCAGACATGACTCCTGTCTAAGTGCTTGCTTGTTACAGGCCAGAATCAACATTTTCCAACAATTTCACTGCTGCACTGTATGTCCCCAGAACGAATATTCTGGTGTCTTATGAGGGAAACACTGAGAAAGCAAAGGGACAGAAATAGTTCAGACATGTTTAGTGTTATGAAAACTAGAACTGGTGCTGAGAAACAGTTTGTAAAAAAAACCCTCATCATTACACTGCAATCAGTGAGTAAGTC